GCTGCCCCAGCCAGGGCGCCGCCGCGCAGAGGGCGGCCAGCATCCACCGCGGAGGCTGAGCCGGAGCGGATCCCCGATCGGCTTCGAGCCAACACAACACCACGGGATCAGCTTGCACAGATCAAGAGGCTCCGTTCAAGGAAAAAGAGTCGAACGACAGACTATCCCCCTGGGCCTCTGGCGAGTCCCGCCAGGGTCCCGGAAGGATTGCCCAGGATCTTCCAGAGCCGGTTGCAAAGGGTTTTCCTGCCCCAGACGGCTCCAAGATGGCCTCCAAGATGGTCCAAGATGGCCTCCAAGTCGGCCAAACATGGTCCAAGATGGCCTCAAGACGGCCCAAGAGGGTCCAAGATACCTCCAAGTTCACCCATGAAGCCTCCAAGACTGCCCACGACGGCCCAAGAGGTCTGCAAGAGGTCCTCCAGGAGGGCCAGAAGAGGCCAAAATCGTTGATTTTCCTAAGGTTTTTGAATGATTGTAGCATTTGCCTCTTCTCGGCATTCCGACGGCTCAAGACGGCCCAAGATGCCGCCAAGATCGCCCACGAGGCCTCCAAGAGGGCCCCATGACGGCCCAAGAGGCCTCCAAGACGGCCCCAAGTGGGCCCCAAGACGGGCCAGGAGCCCACCAAGACGCCCAAGATGGCCTCCAAGACGGCCCCGAAGCGCCCCAAGAGGGCCCCAAGCCGGTTCAGAGAGGCCCCCAAGACGGCCCCCGACGGGCAAGGAACCCACAAAGATGGCCGAAGTTGGCTCGAAGCTGGCCCAAGACGGCCTAAAAGGCCTCCAAGAGGGCCTCCAGCAAGGCCAGAAAAGGAAACAAAAACAATGGTTTTCGTAAGGTGTTTAGACATTTGCTTCTTTTCGGCCTTCCGACGGCCCGAGACGGCCCAAGAGCCCCCAAAGATCGCCCAAAGATCGCCCAAGAGGCCTCCAAGATGGCCCCAGAACGGCCCAAGAGGCCCCCAAGACGGCCCCAAGAGGCCCCAAGTCGGCCCAGGAGGCTTTTGAGACGCCGAAGATGGCCTCCAAGACGTCCTCCATGAAGGCCCGAAAGGGTCAAAATGGCCTGCAGACGGCCAAGATGACCCTCAAGATGCCCACGTGTTCCCCGAAGGCTTTCCCAACCGATTCGGGGAACACATGGTCCGATAGCTTGGCAGGTCTGGCCTCAACGTTCGGCCACATAGGCGCTTCCAAAAAGGCAGGCGCCACATAGGCGGCGGTGATTCGCCGTAGGCGTCTTCGATCCGCCGCCCCCTGTTGGCTTGCCGCAGGGGAGCCCAGCGTGCTAGATCCTTTCGATTTTGGTTTTGATTCTTTTCCAAAGAACTCCCCCTGGGGCTTCGGCCCGTCCCGCCGGCCACCCGGAAGGGCGCGCAAAAGTGCACTACAGGTGGTTGCAACTGGTTTTTCGGCTCCAGACGGCTCCAAGATGGCCACGATGGCCCAAGGTGACCTCCAAGTTCGCCCAAGATGGTACAAGATCGACGACGGCCCAAGAGAGTCCAGGATGCCTCCAAGTTCGCACAAAAAACACCTCAGACGGCCCAAGACGGCCCCAGAGGCCTCCAAGACGGCCAAAGAGGCCTCGAAGAGGTCCTCCAGGGTCCTCAAAGATGGCCCGAAGAGGTCAAAATTATTGATTGTTCGTTAGGTTTTTGAAGGATTTTGGCTTTTGCTTATTTTCGGCCTTCCGACGGCTCAAGACTGCCCAAGAGGCCATCAAGATCGCCCCAAGAGTGCCCAAAAAGCCTCGAAGACGGCCCCAGGACGGCCCAAGAGGCCCCGAACGCGGCCCCAAGAAGGCCCCAAGACGGCCCAAGAGGCCCACGAGACGCCCAAGATGGCCTCCACGACTGCAGAGATGGCCGACGACCCAAGACGGCCCAAGAGGCCCCCAACATCGCCCTAAGAGCGCCCAAGAGGCCTCCAAGATGACCCAATGACATGCCAAGAGGCCCCAAAGAGGGCCCCAACAAGACCCCAAGACGGCCCAAGAGGCCCCCACGAAACCCAAGATGCCATCCAAGACGGCCAAGATGGTCTCCAAGATGCCGCCAAGACGGCCTCCAAGACGGCTAAGATGGCCTCAAGATGCACCCAAGACGGCCCAAGATGGCCTGAAGATGGCCTTGGACGGCCCAAAAGGCTCGCCATAGGCCTCCAAGACGGCCCAAGACCTCTCCAATACGTCATCTAGGAGGCCCGAAAACTCGGAAACCACCTGGTCCGATAGCTCGCCCGACTCAGTGTTCGCCGAATGCTTTCGAAACCCACTCGGGGGACGCGTGGCCCGATAGCTTGGCCAAGCTCAAATCCAACTTTCGGTCACGCAGGCGCTCCCAAAAAGGCAGGGGGCGGCGGTGATTCGCCGTAGGCGTCTTCGATATACATACAAGCGCACAAGTCACGTAGCACCCAGAAGCAGCAGCAACGACTCTCTCCCAAGGGGTCGGCGGTGCGGCGTAAGCCAAATAATAAGAATTCTCACGCCAGTACGAGCATAACTTTAAATGAGCATCTCCATCACGAGGCAGCTTGTGAATTTGATGTTTAGCATTTTCTCCATGGAGAAAGGGTCCTCTCCCAAGGACTGGTTGGAGCTCCCCACCTCTCCTCGCCTCCTGGAGCTCCACGAGTGCAGGCCGAATTTCCCTCACCCTGGAAGGGCCCAAGGATCGGATGGAGCTGGCGGTCAGTGTTCGGCCCATCCCATCCTTCGTGGAGATGGTTTCGGTCTTGCTTCTGGCAACTCCGCCATGGAACCGTGGAGTCTCGGGCCCTTGCGACAGCGTCAGGCAGGCATTCCCACAAGCGGATCTGACAGCACTCGTGGAGACAGTGCTGACTGGCAAATGGCGCCAGGAGCTGGTCTTAGGTCGGGCATGTCCCCCTAGAGGCGGGTTTTGGACGAAAAATCAAACATACTCCAAACATACTCCAAACATGCTCCCAGATACTAAAAATTCGTCCCCACACTATGTTCTGACTATTTTGAATATTCCTCCTGTAGAGGGACAGGCCCGACTTAAAGCTGGTCATTGTTTTCGATCGTGTTAACTGCTTCTGGAAAGGCAGGAACCACCCATTGAACTTTTTAATTCAAACTTGTGGTGTGCTTCTAATTTTTGGCCAGTGGGGAGGGCTGCGTCGCTTAGGGCTGCTTATTCTCCATTTTATCTAGCCGGGCATGGTGACAAGTTTGAGCATTTCCAGAGGACCACTGGCCCGTATAATATATGTACAACTCGAGTAGCTGATGGGCTCACGGCCAACAAAGCAGATACTAATCAGATTCCGCCTCACCGCTGTCAGATCTTGCTCGTGCTGGAGCTGGAATGCCAAACAGGAGTGGACCAGGATTGCAAACCTGACTTTGGATATTGCCAGTTGCGAAAGATAAGGAACGCACTTTTGTGAAACAGAAGGTTCTTCGGTTGCTTGCGCTCAGGAAGAAGCATCAGTTCTGAATGAGGACTTCGTGCCGAAGGGAAGGCTCTGGGTGGTCGGGTCCGTGTTCTCTCAATTTGGCGTGCCTTTTCCTGCAGCCCGAAGCACCCATCGACGGTGTTCTGCGGGACAAGTGGGCATGGGAGAACCACAATTTTTTGTGCTCGCTGTTGGGAAACATCTCTCAGCCTCGCGCGCGCTCTGGCACAATGGATAAAACAAGTTGTTGCAAATTGTGAAGTGCTGGGGCCACGCAACTGTCGGTCAACCTGCTCGCTGGTTGCCCTGTGGTCCTTGAATGCTCTCACAATGTCTCGCCTACTCTAAATCCCATATTAATCGTCCCCCGGTTCGGTCTTTGAAGACGCCTTTTTTGCAACCGGGGGGGTCCGGTTTATTAGGGCGCTTTCTTTGGATCGGAGCCTGGGGGTCCGGTTTAGCAAGGAGACCCGTCGAAGAAGGGGTCTGGAATATGAGGTCGCATTTGGAGGGGGTTCCGTTTTTTTTTTTTAGGGGGGGGGGGGGCGATGAATAAGGAATTTGGAGTAAGCTGATGCAGGCCCTGCGGAGAGCGCGCAGACGCCTACCACCGCAGCAGAAAGTCTAGTGACTGGGGCGCTCGGGGCTTGTGCCCCGTAGATCCAGCCTCCAGCGCTTTCCCTCCACAGATCCCTCCTCCCCCTCCTCCCCCTCCTCCTCCTCCTCCTCCTCCTCTTCCTCCTCCTCCTCCTCCTCCCTGGAGGCGTGGTGCTGCGCCCTCGGCCACGGGTCTCTGTGCAGGCTCCCGCCTCCACGGGCGCTCGTGACACCAGTGGCCAATCATTGCAGTAATATTACTATGCGTGGGCGGCTGCGCCCTTGCGGCCGTTGAAGTTCAGCCTGCTCCAGGGCAGAGTAGGGCTCAGTGGTGCAGACAGTGAGAACCCCCCGTCTCCAGCAGTTGGGCCCCGATCGTTGGGGGGGAGCGTTCGGAGGGGACCTGCTCAGGGGGGAAGCGTGGACCTGGAATCGGCGATACATCGCCGAAAGATCGGCGATAGGCCCAATAACGGATCTCTACGTTCCTGGGTGGGAAAGGGCTATCGGGCCCATCGAAGAATGGGCGATGGGGGGTCGATGTTTTCCTCCCTGGCCAATCCACCCCTAACGCTGCCCCTGCTCCTCCCTAACTCCGGGGGGGAAGAGGAGGGGGGAGAAGAGGATGAGGAGGAGGAGGAGCAACAGGAGGAACAGGATGAGAGGGAGAGGGTAAGAGGAAGAGGGAGAGAGCCAGAGCGAGCGAGAGCGGAGGAAGAGAAGAAGGGGACGAGGAGGAGGAGGAGGAGCAAGAGGAGGCAGAGGAGGAGGAGGGGGAGGACAAGGACAGGGCGACCGGGGGGACGCGCAGAGCACATTGCCAGGCCAGAGCTCTGAGAGGGGTGGTCTTGGCAGGATTGAAGCCCTCCGTCGGTTTCTGCCCCCCGCCAGCTCTTGGCATGCGCTCGGCTGGGGGAGCCGTGCCAGCCCCGGCCCCGGCAGCCCCCGCGTTCCGCCCACCGAGGCGCTTGCGTGCGGCGGCTCCGGCGGCGGCCGCGCCGCCATGCCCCGCCCCCGACGCCGCCACGCGGGCGGGCGCGCCCACCCACAGAGCGGCGGTCCTGCAGAGGAGACGCAAGCAGGATGGGGACAGGACGGGACAGGACAGGACAAGAAATTTGCATGCCTGCTCTGGTATCTGGAGCGGTCCCCTACGGGGCAGACGACGCTCGATCAGGAATAACAGCGGTGCGACAAGCAACGAAGGCAATTCACGCAATCAACGAATCCGCCCGCTTCAGATGCGGCCTGCCCACGGATCGTTTGGCCACCGTTCTGAACCACGGCTTCAAATTCTATAGCGGGTTGCTTCATGTCTTTTCTCCACATGCTTGGTGGGGTTCATGGTTTTCTTCCCTCCCGCGTCCCATCCGCGTCTCACTCACACACACTCACCTCCCTCCCCCCTCCTTCCTCACCTCCTCTTCCTCTCTCGTCTCGTCCACGGGCAACACATGAACGGCACGCACATGAGACACGCGTCTACATGCAGCCGCACGCATGCACACAGTCGCACACAGTCGCTCACACTCGCACACACTCGCACACACTCGCACACACACACACATACTCGCACACACTCGCACACACTCGCACACACTCGCACACACACACACACTCACACACACTCACTCACTCACACTCACACTCACACTCACACTCACACACACTCACACACGCACACGCACACGCACACGCACACGCACACGCACACGCACACACGCACGCACGCACGCACACACACAAACACAAACATAAACACAAACATGAACACAAACACAAACAACGCCAGTGCACGACTGGCGTGTTCACTGCATCACACACCCACGACGTATGCGCCACATACTGGGCACCCACGTGAGACACAAGCATACACATGACACATACGGTGCACCCACATGAGACACACGTCCAGATACAGCCGCACACGCATCATACATGACACGCGCATCACGCAGCACACGCGCGCAAGATTCGCAAGGCGTGGCAGACCGCGGTCTCTATCCGTCCCAAGGCGGCGGGGCGTGGCAAGCGTGGCACTGGTCTCTATCCGTCCCAGGGTCGCGGGGCGTGGCAGGCGTGGCACTCTCTCCACACCACAGGGGGTGCGCAAGGGGTGGTCCCTCACCGCGGTCTCTATCCGTTCCAGGGTCGCGGGGCGTTGCAGGCGTGGCACTTTCTCCACACCACAGGGGGTGCACAGGGGGTCCTCGTGGGGGGTGTACCGAAATGGGCGGGGGGACGCATGTGGACCCTGCCGCTGGAGCCTTCGGTGGAGCTCCTAGGGGGCCACGATCCTCGTAAGGGGTGTGCCGAAATTGGCGGGGGGACGCATGCGGACCCTGCCGCTAGGGCCGCTAGGGTCGTCGGTGGAGTTCCCTACGGGGCCACGATCCTCGTGAGGGGTGTGCCGAAATTGGCGGGGGACGCATGCGGACCCTGCTGCTGGGGCCTTCGGTGGAGCTCCACATGGGGCCACGAAACGCTGTCCTGGGTGGGTAAAACGCAGGGAGGTGACGAGGCGGATGGAAGGAGGGAGGAGGGTGAGGAGGAGGGGGGAGGAGGGAGAGGAGAGGAGAGGATAGGAACGCGGGGCGCTGTCTCTCCAAAACGAGGACCCAACACCACAGGATGGTTGGGAAAAACATAATTTCCTGCTTCCAAACGCACCATTGCGGCGACCGTTCCCGCTCTCGTTTTCGAATCCGCCCGCGCAGTCTACGGTGACTGGGAGGAGAGGGACATTTTCGAAAAGGCAGCGGGACGCGCCCTGGCATGCGCCCTGGGGAGGAACGCTGGGAGGAGCCTTGGGAAGCGTTCCGCGAAAAACCTTGGGGACACTTGAACGCCGAAGCGGTCGCGGGAACGGCAGCCGCAACTCTGGAAGCAGAAGACTAAGGCCTTTTGACAAGCGCTCCGCTCCTGCCAGGGCGCCCCCCAGCGCTCCTCCCAGCGTTCCTCCCATCGCTCCTCTCAGCGTTCCTCCCAGCGCTCTTCCCAGCGCTCCTCCCGACGCTCCTCCCAGCGCTCCTCCCAACGCTCCTCCCGGCGCTCCTCCCAGGGCGCCTCCGGGCGTTCCTCCCAGCGCTCCCCCCAGGGCGCCCCCCAAGCGTTCTTCCCAGCGCTCCTCCCAGGGCGCCTCCCAGCGCGGTCGCGTTCCAGTGCTCGGAGCGGCCATCTTGAGCGGACCAGATCCCGATCTGGTCCACAGCGAACGAAAAAGAATCGTGCGGACCAGATCCAGATCGAGTCCACAAGGAATCGTGAATCAATCTAGATAGGTTTACTTCGGTCGGACTAGATTGCGATCGAATCTGAAACGAATCGTGAATCATATTATTGTGGGTCCTTCAGGCGGGCAAGGGGGCTCCAACCTGCGAGAGAGAGCGTTTCACAGGCGCTTGCCTTGGGAACATTCGGCAGGGCGTTTCGAACTGGGGGGTGGGACCCCCCCCCAACACTCGGCGTCGTCGATCAGAACCAGGGGGGCTCCCCTCCCTCTTAACGCCCCCCCCTCCCGAACCCCCCCCACTCCCAGTGGGGGGGGGGTTCAAACCCCCCCCCCCGCCCTTCCCGCCGCCAGCAGCGCCGACGGCAGGGACGCAGCGAAGATGACCAGAAGCAGCCCACGGTTAGGGGGGGGTCCAAACCACCCCCCCTGGCCGGGGCGCCGACGCTGGAGGTGGCCAGCAGAGCAGACGGCGGGGACGCAGCGACGATTACCACAACTACCACCACCACCGCCACTACCACCCATCACCGCCACCACCGCCACCACCACCAAGCCACCACACAACCACCACCACCACAACCACTACCACCACAACCACCACCACCACAAGTCACCACGACCACCACCACAACCCACCACCACTACCACCACCACTACCACCACCACTACCACCACCACAATCTACCACACCACCACCACCGCCGCTACAACCACCACCACTACCAGCAGTACAACCCACCACCACAACCACCACAAACCACCACACCACCACCAACCCCCGCCACCACCACAACCACCACCAGCACCACTTCCACACACCACCACCACCACCACCACAACCCACCACCCACCACCACCACAAACCACCACACCGCCACCAAACCACCACCACCACCGCCACCACAACCCACCACACACCACCACCACAACCCGCCCCCACACCACCATCAAGTCACAACCACCACCATCACCGCAACAAACCACCACACCACCACCACCACCGCCACAACCACCACTAGAACCCATCACCACCACCAGCACACCACCACCACCACCACCAACCACCAACACAACCACCACCACCGCAACAAACCACCACCACCACCATCACCACCACCGCCACCACCACCACCACAACCCACCACCACCACAACCACTACCACCATCACAACCACCACGACAAACCACCACGACAAACCACCACACCACCACCGCCACCGCCACCGCCACCACCTCAATACACCTCCGCCACAACTACCACCACCACCACCAGAAACCACTTCACCACCATCACCATCACCATCACCACCACCACAACCTGCCACTACAACCACTACAACAACCACCACCACCAACAACCACACCACCACCACCATCACCACCACCACCGCCACAACCACCACCACCACCACCACAGCCCACCACCACCTCAGAGAGGCCCCAAGAGACACCCAAGAGGCGCCCAGGAGGCTGCACAAATGCCCTTCCGAGGCCCCCGAGAGGCCTCCTACGAGACCCCAAGGGGCAACCATTAGGACTCCAAGGTATGGTGGCGGAGTGTCGTTGTCGTCATCATCCTCGTCGCCGTCCTCGTCGACGCTCCCCGCCGCCGCCGCCCGCCGCCGGGAGGAAAGTGGTGGGGGGGTCGAAACCCCCTCACCCCTCCGTCTCGGGAAGGGGGGGGGGGGTCGAACCCTCCCCCCCTCCATCCAGGGGGGGGAGGGGGTCCGGTTCCAACCCCCCCCCCTCCAAGCGACCACGGAACGCGCTCTTTCCAACTTGCGGACGCTGGTCACAGTGCAAGAGCAGGCAGGAGGGAGGGAGGAAGGGAGGAGGGCCTCCCCGTACCCCCTGCGCATCCCGCGCCAATTCGGACGCCCGTAATGAGCACGGAAAACATGGGTACAATGCCAGACAACAACTGTTGTCAAAAGCCGACAGCGGCCGCTGTTGGCCAGGCTGCCTCCTGTCTCACATGTGCAACGTCCGCGGCGACACCGACAGCGAATCCTCAGATTGAACAGGCCCTGGGAACCGCACGTATATGCTTCCAGAAACGCGAAAAAACAAGGTACACTGAATAATTGCCTGGCCGGTTCTCCAGGCGACAGGTACTGAAACGACTACTCTCTCTCTCTCTCTTTTGTTTCTCTCTCTCTCTCTCTCCCTTTATACCTATACATATACATGCATACATGCATGCATGCATGCATGCATACACACATACATACATACATACATACATACATACATTACATTACATTACATTCCATTCCATTCCATTCCATTCCATTCCATTCCATTACAATACATTACAGTACAGTGCAGTACAGTACAGTACATTGCAGCACATTGCATTACATTACATTACATTACATTACATTACATTACATTACATTACATTACATCACATCACATCACATTACATTACATTACATTGCATTGCATTACATACATACATACATACATACATGCATGCATACACACATACACACATACACACATACACACATACACACATACACACATACATACATACATACATACATACAGACAGACAGACAGACAGACAGACAGACAGACAAACAGACAGACAGACAGACAGACATACACACGGTGTTTGGACCATCATACGCCACTGATAAGTAGCGGACACACTACATTGTGTTGTGGACATATTCCTGGTCCCGAGGATCCGCTGTCGGTTTCCGTACGCATTTGTCCATACCCATTTCGTTCGTGCCGAGCCCAACACCGTTAGGGGCTTGACGACTTCTGCCGTCCCTCGATCCCTCTGGATCGGCCACGATGTGCTCCACATTTCCCTTGAGATCAGTGAGTCTACCTGGGAATACCGCGATCTGCATTATACCTTGACTCATCTAGCTTGATCCCCACTCGTCGACTGGCGACAAAAAATCAAGCCCTTGGGGACAGCAGGGCCCTCAGCTCGCGCCCGGCAGGGGCCCTCAGCTCACCTTCGCCTTCTCCGCGGGCGGCCGCCTCCGGCAGCACCCACGCCAGGCGCACCGGAACCTGTGGGCGCATGGCGCCCGGCGCGGCCGACCAAAGCCTCTTTTCCGCCCCTCGCGTGCTCTGCCACCTCCCTCCTCCACGCCCCGACCTCCGTCCTCCGTCATCCATCCTCCATGTTGCATCCATGATCCTCCATCATCCGTCCTCGTCCCCCCCTGCCCCGGGGGCCTGAAGGGGGACGTGGGGAGGGGCTGCCCGTGAATTTCCCTTAGGTTTTCGACAGGTTTTCGCGGGCTTGCGACGCTCCAAAACGGCCCAGACGGCCTGTAATATCGCCACAAGACGGCCCGAGAGGCCCCAAAAAGCCCCGAACGCCTACTCAAACATTCCACTCGAAGAACCTGTTGCTGCCATCGCGCTGTGGCAGCAGCAAAGGCAGTAAATGCTTTTCCCTTGAGCCAAATCGGATAACAGTGACAGGAAACTTCACACAACTCTAAATGCAAAACCTACTGTGCGAAATATGCTCACCTGTCTCATGGGTGAGACTTTCTCGTAGGTTTTGCAGCCCTGAATGCCGGGCTGCACACAGCCCTGCAATTGGCAGTTGGTCATTATGACAACTGCTACCCCGGGAGAAAAGCAAGAAAAGCGCCAGACTATTGGAACATGGGAACAGACATGGTGCACGCGGAGGAAGGAGAGGAAAAGGGAGGACTGGAGGAACCACCACCACCACCACCATCCTGGACCAGGGACGGGAACTCCCTCCATGACGTCAGCACGCGCCCGTCGAGGACCTTGCGAGAAGCTGCCTGGGTGCGGCTCTTGAGACTAGGAGCGTGACGGCGGCGCTCAACCTCGTCACTCTCATCCACAAGGATGAGGCGGCCGTTCGTCATCATATCGAACAGTGCCGCGTTCCCCTTCGTGATGTCGTCTTTAGTCAATGAGTCCACCGGCATACGGCCGTGTGGTATCCAACGTACTTTGCCTTTCGCCTCTTCTAAAGCTTCACATATTATTGCGAGGTCGATAGCTGTACGTCGGTCCTTAGCTCCAGCGTTGCCCTCTTTGAGCATGGTGTCGTAGATGCTCTTGGCATCCACGACGTGTACTTGACGCTCTCGCGCTCCCAGACGACAGTCGGCTCGAAGGATGGTCGTAAAGGGGCACGACGCTCTCCGATGGTCACGGACGTGGACGTCTTGAAAGATCACATCCCTGTAGAGGATCTGCAAGTTTTCTACCTCGGCCACGGCAGCTGACAGAGCCAGTGTCTCTCCAGCAAGAGTAGATGGCACTTTGCGTCGAAGCTTGGAGCTCCTCCATCCTAGGATGGAGGCGCGGGCCGAAGTATTGTTCAAGAGGTCGCTGTCGGCTGCCAACACCATCCAGGCTCCCTGGGTGGGATCTTCAGGAAGCCCCCGATCGTCAACCATACCGTCAAAAGCCCCTACTCCTCCGGCGTCGGAAAAGGAAGCGAAAGCCATCCGCTCGGGGTCCAGGCGCCACGCAGTGAGGCCCCTGGAGGCCGTAGACCGGAGGTGTCGAACAAGCTTGTTGGCCAGCGATACGTCTCCAGTAGTGGCGGCTTTGAGGCGACTGGCGAGGATGCTCGCCACGCCGGCCGCCTCTGGGCGGGTCTCTCGTCCCACCCAGTTGAATTTGTAGACGAGTGATCGCAGGGCTCGAAACTCAGCTGGCTCGAGTGGAGAGTCACGCTTGGACAGTCGGCCCTTGGCCATCGAGAGCGGCTTGACCTCCTCTAAAATGTACTTCTCCATATCGAGCGTAGCCTTTTGAGCTCCTACAGTGACGCGTCTCCCAGCGAACTCGACGGGTCCGGCGTGGCAGTCTCGGTACTCTCCGAACTTGAATCTCGCCTCGAGAGTCTGGCGAAGCCAAGACCTCGAGGAAGGCGACGAACTAGCAATAAAGAAGTCGTCGACTTCGAGCAAGATCATGTTAAGTATCTCGCCCTTGCTGCCATATCGGACCCACCAGCGCGGCTCGAGCAAGCTCTTGGTGAAGCCGTGCTTCTCCAGGAACTTGACAACTGTCCGGCGCCACGCGACCGGGGCATCATCCAGGCCATAGACGTTGACCCGCAGAAGGATCAGCGAGCCCTTGGGCAGGCTGATACCCTCGCACGGCTCAACGTAGATGTTGCCCTGGGCGCGTGACATCGGGTCGGACTGGCAGAAAGCGTTCTTGACATCTGCGATGTCTGCCAGCATACCTAGATTCATAAAGACCTGGATAAACATCATTATGCTCGAGGTCTGTGGGGTCGGGGCGTAGACCTGGAGCGAGCCAGAGTCGGGATCGCGATGGCCATGGACGCACCAACGAGATTTGGCCGAGGGCTCCTGGAACGTACCCTCGACGGGTTTCCAGCGACGCACCATCCGGCTCGAGATGATGCGTTCGGCCTGGGTCCGCCGAATCACCTCGGCCTTGTCCGGAGGTATGATGTCGCACGCGCCGGTGCCCATCATAGCGTCCCATTCCTTCTGGTTTGAGATCTCGAACTTCTGCCTATCGGCTGGGGACAGGCTCTTGAGGCTAACCTCACCCCCTCGGCTCGCCGCAAACACCCCGGAGTCGTCAGACAGTCCAGTCCAGCCAGCGTCACCCTCGAGATCCTGGGCCGGGACCGCCTGGACACCACCATCACCACCACCGGGGAGGAGGAAGAAGGCTCGCCTGTCCTGAGGGGACCGGCTGCGCTGCCGGGGGTGTCCTGCCTCGATCTCCCGGACCAGGTCGGTGACCGGTCTCCGGGGCGACCCTGCCCTCGCGGTGACCTCCCTCCCCTCCGGTTCGCCTGGCCCGCGAGGCAGAGGAGGGGGAGGAGGAGGAGGAGGAGAGGGAAGCGAGGAGGAGCTGGAGGGGTCCGCCAGGGGTGGGCTCCCTCCCTCGGGCTCGGTCCTGGCCCTCTTCATCTCCGGAGGGGAGCTGGCAGCCCTCGCTCGGAGGATACAGCTGGGAACGTCGACAGGCTGAGTCAGCCTCGAACGCCTAGGCGTGGATGGGTCGGGAGTCGGAGAGACAACCGGAGCGGGGTCAGAAGGAGAAAAGGGAGAGGAGGAGAGCGGAGGAGCAGAGGAGGGAGCGACCGGGTCAGCAGGGGAAAGGGCAGGAGTCGGCTCGCTCTCTCGATCCTCGGAGATAGCCCTGGACATCCCTGGGTCGGAAACGTCCGGCGTCGAATCCGGGGCCACCTCGTCGCCCTCCGCAATGGATGGAAGTCGGGTCCTCTCACTCCCCGCCTGGGCGTCCACCGAGCCGTCCTCGGACGGAGCTCGGGGTTGCCTGTCCGCATGGCGACCGCCCGGGCGTCTCGGGAGGCCTCCAAAGCCCGGAGAGGGACCCGGGGCCAACACGGACCCGGGGACCGGAGCCTCCTCGGGCTCGGCGGGAACCGGCCCCGGGACTCCCGGAAGGTGAGGGGCCGCGTCCGCCTCGTGACGGGAGGGCTGGTCCCAGGCGTCGTCCGGTGGGGGGCCCTCACGTTGGACGTCCACCGCCGAGGCACGGCGGGTGTGCACCTGAGTCAGCAGCTCCTGCCACTGAGGGCTCTGAGCCAGCTGTAGTCCGTATTCTTCCTCCGGACTGGCGAGCCGCACTTGCTCGACCGAGCACTTCCACAGGCGCGCTCTAACGGCAACCCAGACGGTGCCGCCTTCGCACAGCACGACCACCCCAGGACCCGTCCAGCAGGCCCTTCGGCGACCGAGCGCATCAGCTCTCGACGAGGCACGGCTGAGGTTGCGCCACACAAACACCCACTGGCCCGGCGTGAAGCTCTTGAGCGCCGGGGCACGAGCCTTGGAAGCACGGCTGATCTTCTCGTGAGCGTTGGCTTCTATAGCCAGCCGCCGCGCCGCGGCCCGGACCTCCTGGGGCCGAGCAAACTCGGCACCGGCTGAGTCTTGCTCTGACGCTGGGCTCAGCATGTCACGCCACCCCGGCACGGCCCCCGTGTCGTCCGACAGGATGTCGTGTGGGAGCCTGGGGTTTTGACCGAAAACCAATTGGGCCGGGGAGAACCCTCCCCGGTGCCAGAATCGATTCTTGTGCGCCACCAGTTCGTGAACCAGCTCGTCGAGCTCATCCAGGGAACCCGGGAGGGAGGAGCCAGCATCTAGCTCCTGCTTAACCCTGTCTTTCACCCAACCCCCGTGGCGTTCGACTCGGCCATTCTGCCACGGGCTGTCTGCGTCGCAGACGTGATGCATCACTCCCCACTGCTCCAGGCCCCGGGCAAACCTTTCTCCGAACTCCGAGCCGCCGTCCGAGATCATGAAGTCGGGGGCTCCGAAAGGGCGGATCCATCCGGCCACGAAAGCCCTCCACACGGTGGCAGCTCGGGCGTCGGCGAGTCTAACACAGAGCTGGAGGTTGGACCCGTGGTCCACAACATTCATGAATGGGTGAGTCGTGCCCTGAAAGTCCAGATAAAACAAGTCAATGCCGACGATGTGATTGAATCTGAAAGTACGCGGCAGGGCAACTTTCCTATGGTTGCTAGACCGCTGTCGCTCGGCACACTCAGAGCATCTGAACTTGTTTCGGGCCCACCGAACGATGTGCCTCTTCACCCCTCCAGCTCGGAGCACGCGACAGAATTTCCTGACATCGGGGTGCCCCATGTTCACGTGCAACTTGTAGACAAGGCGTTTTTCTTCCTCACTCGGATCCACGTCGGGGACGGTGACTCCTTTCCGGCCATCAACCGGTCGTGTCTCGGGCTCGTCCCCGCTGTCTTCAGGCTCTTCTTCCTCGGCCTCCGCTTCCTCCTCGAGAGGATTGCCTTCGCCAGCCTCCGCCGGGAAGGAGAGCTCGGACAGCTCGGCCCACGTGGGCCTCGCCTCTCTGAACACCCCTTGCCACTGTTCTGCCACCGCACGAGCCACTCGTTGGGCCAACTTGAACGGATAACGGGCAGCTCGAGATGTCTGCCAGCTGCCCTCAAGGACCGCATGCTTGTGGGTCCCGTCGCAGAGGTGCCCATCTAGAGCTCTGAGGACCCGGGGGTGGTTGCTCAAAATACC